AAATTGTGAATCCCGTAAATTGTGGTCGAGGAAAGAAACCATTACACGCAAAATCTCTTTTCCCCAAACTTCCCCATTTCTCAAACCTTGTAGTCTCTCATTTTCATCATCCTTCACTTCGCCCCTGGCGACGTTCATCTCGAAGAAGAAATTATCTGGCCTCAAAGAAAGGGCAATAGAAAAAACTTATCTCGGAGCCACACACTCAAATCTCACTGCTTTTTGTTCAAAAAAATACCGTCTGTCGTACGTTGCAAGATACCCCTTTCGATCATTCGAAATTTCCGATCATTGAACAGGGAAAGAGGCTAAAATCGTAGTTTGAAGAATAAAGATTCGACTTGTTTTGCTTAATGTTGTTGTGTTGGTGTCTTTAGCGAGATCGCGGCCAGATGGAGCTGCACGAGGACCAGCAGGAGACGGAATGGGGTCAGGAAACGGGTCTGGAAGGTGGTTTCGGGTTTGATTTCTGGATTTTTTTCGTGGCGTTTGAGGTTTCGAGGTGTGTTCTGCATTTTGATATTTTTTTTGCGTAGGGATTTTTGGTTTTGCTGATTACGCGTTTTGTGTTTGTGGTGTAGAATCGATGCGGGGGTTGAATCTGGGGGGCAGGGAAGTGTACCCGGAAAGGCCGGAGCGTGTGGGAACGGCGTCGATTGCCGGTATAATCACCATCGTGATCGCAGCATCTCCGTAAGACCTCTGGCGGATTTTTTTTTTAATTTTTTTTTTGCCTATGCGGTGCAGTAATTTGGTGTTTTTTGAATTGTCTGTTTTTGTTTTCTTACACATTTTAAGTAGGATTATGCAGTGTAGTAATCACTCTTATTGCATCTTATGGTTTTTGCTCTGTCATTGTTTAGTTCTGTTTGTAGGATAATTGTAAATTGAGCCTGTGTTCACGTGATTCACTATGTTTCTGTAAACCATGGATCACAGAACTAAATGTAAGAACTTGTGGTACAGGTATCTCATTTTGTTGGTTGGTTTGTTCAAACATTTGATTAAATGTAAGATCTCTATATTTGAACATTGATTACTCTTTTTTTCCCTCTTTACCTTTGTAGGAGGAGAAGTGTATCCTGGAAAGAGAACTAGCAAGAGTCAAGGTTTCTGCAAATAGGTTAGATACCATTGGGGCTGACGAGTGGAAGGATGATAAGGACAAAGTTATGCCTGTCAAGCCATTGACTAGAAGAAAGAAGAATATTACTGTTTTACTATTGAGACCGTCTCACAGATAACAATGTGCTCACATAATGAACAATCCCCTTGAGAGAGGAGAGAAGATACACAACAATGTTATGCTCATCAATTGATGGTTATATGACGACATTGAGGTTTCGTTTTCTCATCTTTAGATATTGCATAGTCGAAATCTGAAGCTGGAGACATCGCTTCACCAATAAGAGTTACTAGCATCTTCGTTTCGCTCCAGTTTGTGAGGAGGTATGATTAAGTTTAATGTTTCAAATAAGATAACTGTGGTTGGTGGTTTGGATAGAGAAAGACTTACATTGTAGGAGTTACATTAATCTTAAGTTCTTAACATTTGATGGAGTGTCTGCAAACCAAAAGACAACAAGATGAATGCATTCTTCCAAAACCAAATAAAACTTCAACAACATAGCATGTTAAGAAATCATGAGTTACTTACCTCTGATAATTATTGCCCTTTTTGAGCTGGGAATTGCTTTCACTATTGTTTTTAGCTTTGAGTTCATGTTTTAGAGACTGAATTGTGGATTATTCTTTTTGGGCCTGGATGAATCACATGAATCGATAACTTTGACTGGACAATTGAAATTCATGATTTTTCATAATTTCTTTTTCAACGTTTGGGACTTTCTGGTTGTGTCTGCAAACACTATGATCACAGTAAACTCAAAGAAGGGCGCTCCCTTGAAAGTAGCTGATGAGATATATATAGAAATTACCCTAAGTGATGTTTAATGGTATCACTAGGAAAAAAAAAAGGCAGAAGGAAATGGAAAACTGAGTTGAGCAAGTTTGTGTTTCTTCCCTTTTTTCATGTGTAAAGTGTGGTTGTCATTGCTTAAATCATTTTGTTACATGGTCATAATCTTATACTTGATCGATCATGATCTGATCCTTTGCATGGTTTTATTTTTTTAAATAGCACAACATAGTATAATAAATTGTAAGATATCATAAAATTCACTCACTATATTTCACTGCAGCATTAATAGTTTTGATATCTTATCGTGGTTGTTTTTAGTATTTATTATCTCAATGGTCATTGTATGTTGTTTTTTATGCAGGGAAGGATGATGGAGCTCCCCACAAAAACCATTTTTAACATTTCCATTATTCTTGAACAGATATGAGAAAGATAAACCTTCTTCGTATGCTCCGTATGAGGGTTATCGGTGTGATGGTGTCTACAGGATTAAGTGCTGGAGAAAAGCTGGCAATATAGGTATACAATTTTGCGCTACTCCATACTTACTGTCTTAGGACATCATTTTCCGCCACGAGGCAGGCTAATTTTAGTGCACAAAGAAAATGACAACATTTTCTAGCAAGTTAACAATTGTCGGAACTATTCAAACATTAATCTAGATGTTAAAAAAATCTACTATGTTCTTTTCTTTGTGCTGCCATTTTACCCCTTTTATGTGTCATTGTGAATTTGACATGATGAAATTGTTTTTGTTTTTTGTACGTTCGTATGTATATGTACATATATTTATTCAAATTATATTCAATTAAGCATCTTTATGTTGTGGTGCTTAAAAGATTCTAAATGAACCAACCTCTCTTAGCCAAGTAGTCAAGGGTATTATGTTTGGTAGCAGATGCATGCTGTTTCGACTATGTAGCCGTTTATGGCCTCTTTTATTAAAATGATACCTAACGTTTGGAACATTGGTTTATTAGTTAATGTGTTTTTTTTTTTTCGCTCCGACACTGTTTTGCCGCAGCGAATTGTCGATTTTCAATTGTCAAAGTACTCGAAGTATTGCACTCAATTATAAAGGGGTTGCTTTTGTTGTCAAGATTATTGAATTATAGACTATATAGTTGTTCTTCTTTACTGCTTTGCATTGTCGAATTATTAGTCTAATGATCATGTGTTCAGTGTTCATTCAAAAACATTGCACACTTATTTATTGCAAATGTGAGCCTTTGTTAATTGAATTTGGAATCTCCAATTTCATATAGTTGAATAATATTGCTAAAAAATTAAATAAACATTTTTTAATAAAATTTCAGCACATAGCCAGCATTTTGGATTCAGGTGGCAACCCTTTTCTTGTGTGTATTGTTTCATTTCATTTATGTTTGTAATAAAATGCAGAAAATAAATCCTACAAATGCCCAAACAATCGCCATAAGCAACACCTCCATTGATGTTGATCTGAAGAATAAACGATTCTTCCAAAATCTCACTTTATAATTTATTTTTTTTGGCAGATACTTTTCTCTGTGTCTTGTGTATATATGTATATTTATTAAAGGCATATATTGTATAGACTTAATGCCTTAATCCATGCACCATTGATAGTTATATATGCACTTTTATTTTTTTCTTTCAAAAGAGGAGCAAAAAATGTGTCTAAATCTACATCATCTTTGTGCTTAAATGTAACTTCGTAAAAAAATGTCACCAAATATCACCTAACAATAGAATATATATCTAAATCGAAAGTCGTTTTATAGTATTTATGTTCATTTTCAAAGTCATTACGGTTCATAGGCATTACAGCCACAAAAGCTGTGTAATAAGGTCTTTATGGTGAAAGCTTATTTTGTTAACAATCAGTGTAGAAATTGGCAGTGAATTCGAATGCTCATTAAAGGTGATGACAAATTTTCAAAGAGGCATAGAAAACTGCGATTGACAGGTATAATATATTTAGAGAGAGCAATTGAACTGCAACAATTGCCTACAAAACTGTGTAATGAACCATTTATGTTGAAAGTTTCTTTTGTAAACAACCGGTGTAAAAATTGGACATAAACTTGACTAATCATTACAACTAATGAAAAAAATTCAATGTATTTTTAGACTAAATTTGAGTCCACCGTGCGTGCACGGCGTGACCCAACTAGTACTTAATATAATAACATGTTCCTTCTCTAGCTAAAATCTTATTGCAGCATCTATTTTATGTTTTACATTGTTTTTTGTAAATTAGTAAAATTTATAGCAATGTGTTCCTGAAGTTCGGATAATTTATAGTTAAAAGGCAAAAAGAGAAATTTTCTACTCGAAGTTCTTCCCCCTCAGGTTCGTTGCAAGTCAAAACAAGTAAACCTTTTTTGGAAATGAACTTTTAATCAGATTTATTCCCCATATATTTATATTTGGAAAGTTGTACTTCCTTTTTAACCTAATGAGCCACGCTCGCAAGTTCAACTTGTTTAGTGAATGAGTCGATTGACAAACTTGAGAAGTAGGGATTTCTACAAAATTTATAAACTTTTTTAGCATAATTTTATTTATTTAAAACTCGATCTTAGCTAGTTAATTAACAAATTGAGCCCGAACTTATTTATCAGCTAAGCCCGTCGCAATACGCGCTATAACCTAAACTCGAATATCGGCTTAACTCGTTTATGTCGATAACTTCAAATAAATCAAATTTTATTGCCATATATATATATCAATAGTTGGGAACACATCGCAACGTACGTACAATTCACCCAATTTCCCCTCATAACCTCGTAATGCCAAAGGTATGTGCCGCCACTACTGCAAAATTATTGACAATTACACTAACTTAAAAATGGCATCTCGCAATTACATTACAAACCCACTATTTAATTCATATATTTATTCATTTTCTTAAAATAAAAAAAAATAAGCAAAAATCATATTAAAATTTTCATAAAGAGTCCTTCATAGACATAATATCTGCCTCAAAAGAGGTGTCACAATCCCACCACAACACAGAAAAAAATCCGACCTTATAACAACCCTTCCTCTCCCCTTCATCAAAAAAATCACAACAAATTTTTCTGTATCTCCGGCAATGTCTCACTCATCGGAAACCGCCGCGAACCGATTAAAGCCCTGGAAGCACCTCCACCCTCCGCCGGCCAAAACCCCGATTTTCACAAAAAGGCTTCTGCTAATCTCCGCCTTCACGGCCCTCTACCTCCTCTACTTCTCCACCGCCCTCCTCACCAGCCGCCCCACCTCCGCCTCCGCCTCCGCCGCCACCGGCGGCGACGGCGGCCGTACGGACCTCTCTCACATCATCTTCGCGATTGGCGGCTCCGCCGGGACGTGGGCCCAACGCCGCCACTACAGCGAGCTCTGGTGGCGGCCGAACGCCACCCGCGGCCACGTCTGGCTCGACGAGCCGCCGGCGGCGGCCGCCGGACCTTGGCCGGAGACTTCGCCGCCTTACCGGGTCTCGGCCGACCCGACCCGGTTCAAGTACACCAACCCGGACGGGTCGCGGGCCGCGGTCCGTATAGCCCGAATACTCAAGGAGAGCTTCGAGGAGCTCGGGCCGGAGGGCCGAGCCGCGGTCCGGTGGTTCGTGATGGGTGACGACGACACGGTTTTTTTCCCGGAGAATTTGGTGGCGGTGCTCAACAAGTACGATTATCGAGAGATGTATTATGTAGGGGCGAATTCGGAAAGCGTGGAGCAAGACCTCGTGCACTTGTATGCGACGGGTTACGGAGGAGGGGGTTTTGCGGTGAGCCGGCCGCTAGCCGAGGCTTTGGTGGAGGTTTTGGACGGGTGCATTGACCGGTACGCGGATGCTTACGGTTCGGATCTGAAAGTCGGGGCGTGTATCAGCGAGATAGGGGTGCCGGTTACGAAAGAGCTAGGGTTTCATCAGGTGACGATTTTTTTTGTTC